TACCAGAGCAATAGAAATTTGCATTAGAAAAAGAAGTCGGTACAATGTTTTTTCATGCAAGCTTCTGTCTCGGGAACGTGACAACGTCGCATGTAAACATGGCCGTTGCGCGATATTTTGAGAAAGAGCGGCCGCTTCGAGATTCTAAAACATAACTTGTTAAAACTGACGAAAATTGAAATGCGAAGTTGGGGTATGCTCGATTTCACAACTACTACATTGGATAAAATAATACTTGAAAAACTAATTGCAACTGTAATTGTATGAATTACTACTTTCTTTTTTATTAAAAATCATAATCAAACAATAATTTAAGAATTTTATTATAAAAAATATATCGTTATTAATACTTTCTGTATTTGTGTTTTGTTTTGATTAGTACACTTGGGAAACAACCACTTTAAGATGAATTTTGCAAATTTAGATACCACTTACGATCGGTCGATAAATTGATAAAGAATCACCCTAAAAGAAAAAGTACGATGCGCGAGATCGTATAAAGAACTAATGGAATATGATAATGTTATTGATAAAAATTCCGGTTGCATCGCTTCCGTGGAGAAATTTCGCATAAACTTCGAAAGGTTATGGTCGGAATGTTTAGAATCGAAGCAATAATCTTTACTAAATTTCGAGTACTCGATCGTTTCGATACAATCGCGTCGTGCTAGAATTATGTTAAGGGTTGTGCACTCGCATCTGCGCTGCATCAGTTATTTTATTCGATATACGACAAAGAATAGTACTGTTCGTGAGGTGAGCATTGGTTGCTCATACATTTTTGGAAACCTATTACTTAACGTCTGCAAATACAGTGTAGAAATACGAGTTTAACTTACAAGGAAACACCGATTTTGATGAAACTTTGTAGAATTGTTTGTGGGACCATTATGTTGCAGTTTTCGCTCGACTTATGTTATAAGGGAGTTATTACACTGAGTTATAACTGAGTTATAACTCCCTTATAAAAGTAATAAATATTTAGTTGTGTTATAACTCAGAGATGATAACAGATATCGCCAAAATTTTTAATATAAAATTTAGTGGTTTTTAACATATTATAACACCGTAGTAAGAATTTAAAAAAATTTATTTTCAATAATATTTTCTCCACTATAAATCTTTTTTCCACGCACTACATAAAAATTGTGCTTGCAATTTCGGGGATGTTTTCATACTGAACAACTTTCCTCTAACCAATTTTATTCTATCTGTTACCAAATTCAAGTTTCTGTGCAATATAGAGTACGTAGCCCGTAGCATGTGCCTGATGACTAGCGGTCAGAATTCTTGACTAGAATTGAAAAAAATTATAACTGATTGGGTAAACGTATTTTAATGATCAAATAGGGAAAATGCGCGTACTTAGATGAAGAATTCTAAACAAAATATAAAACAATCGAAACAGTCTATATTTTAGTTCTTTTTGACGGTAAAATATGCAAAATGTTGCTACATCTTAACAAATTCGTAGTTCTCTTAATAATAAACAGTTTGGATTGAAACGTTTTTTCGTTGTCGATCTCATGGAACCCTATAAAAAACATATAGAAAGCTTTTTTCTAAAGTGAAAATCCAATTGTTCAAAAATGAAAGGAAGTGTTTTTTAGGATTTCGCCCTATAACAATTATTTTTCATACCCTCAGTCAAAATGAAGCATATATTATCAAATAACCTATACAAGCAGCTTATATTATTTATGAGACAAAAATTTCTAAAGAATAGAATAAAAATGGTTTGAAAGAAGCGATTCTCGGAAAATATTCTTTTTTCGAAAAAATATATTTAACAACAATTTCATATCTAATCGAGATGTACAAGTTTTGTTTAAAATATTGTTATTAATAACAGAAATAGAAGAAATTAAAATGAGTGTTCAAAGTTAAAAATCGCAATTATCAATTTAGTTATGTATGCTTGCGCGTGTGTGTTAGCGTCAACGTCTTTAGGAACCTTTTACGGTAAATAGTTAGTCGCATTTTGGACTGCGACAGTTTTATGGCAGGGTCAGGACGACCGAGCGGATTTCTGATGAACGCCAGGCGACCACCATGGGCGGTCGGCCGGCGAGAGACGATGCCTCGGCACATAAGTATCGAGTGACGAAGGTCTGTTTGTTTATAACTAATAGATGTGTCGATTGGCAAGCAACCCGACGTTGCGTTACCTAAAAGGAAAAAGACGTTGTCCTAGAGGATCTGGCCACGGAGTGGGAAAGGCATTGCCTTTTGGTAAGAGACTGTGAGGAACAGCACGACACTTACCCCAGAACCGCTGAAGGGAAGAGACGTTTATATATTTTCTAACATGTGCGCGCGCGCGCGTGTGTGTGTGTGTGTATGTATATATGTATAGTATATTCATATACTGTGTGTAAATATCCACGAAAGTATCGAGAGTAGCGAATTTCATCACAGCCATTATGTACTTCTTCTGTTGTAATATCGATTACTACAGCAACAATTTTACAATATTACAATATTACATATTACAATATTACATCATTTACGATTATGATAATTATAAACTAATACACACCGTTGGATTCAGAATAAAAAAACGCTTTTACTGATCTAGAAATAAATAAAACTTTTTAGAAATTTCGATGGCGCCGTAATTTTTGTAAATAAAATTTTTTTCAAAACTTTTTAATACTGGTTTATAAGCCTCTAAAATCAGTGCAATGTTTATTTGAACATTTATTCGATATTTGTTATCATTTTCGAGTTATAAGCGCATAAGTAATCGGGGTGACTCTGACAAAAGGGGGTAGTCCCTGCCTTGTAAATGCCAGAGTGACACGAACTGATGGTATAATTCATAGGAAGGTCCCACAAACAATGTAAAAAAATAAATTTGATCAAAATCGGGGTGTAACACTCACCGGTGTTTCCTTATTAGTAGCAACAGTTGAACGACAATTTAAATTCGAAAACTAGCTAAAGTTGAGTCGAGATTATATTGTCTTGATTGTATATAACGAGATAACGAAACGGTTCGACGGTATGTATGTATGTATGTACATCGAGCAAAACTGTCTCTAGGCGATAAGTTAGTTCTTCGAGAAAAAATTTCTCCGAGGCACTCGTAACAAAGAGTGCTTCTGATAAACTAAGAAAGGAGGTAGCCGTGAAAATAAGGAATGGAAGTGAGATGGATACGGGGTTACAACATTACTATTCTGATAATGGAGTAGCGGTCAATGGGGCGATAGATTGCGCCATGGCGACTGTAACACGTGGGAGCCGAGCAAGCTCTCAAGGGAACCGCTCAACCCCTTTGCCAGCCTGCCACTTTCAGCCTGACTGTGCTATGGCTATACCTACGACCGTTTCGCCTGCTGTCTTACTCACGGCTATATTCGAGCTCCTTTTCCCTATGTCACCCGTCGATCCTTATCGCCACAAAGACATTTCCACGCCCAATGTGCGTTTTACTGACAATGTAAGGCCGTTACTTTGCCCGGAAGGAAAACTAGAAACATCTCCCGAAATGTCGAAAATTCGAACACACCGATTCTTGTGGAAGCAATTTTATCGTTAATTTGATAAATTGTCGTAAAAGTTGGATATGTTTCGTAAAATAAACGGCTAAATCGATGCGCAAACAGACTATAGCGTCCCACAGACTGCGCTGACGTGACGTGGGCCAACGTCACATCAGGCTCCGTGGCTCCATGTCAGACATGAAGCGGAGTCAGATTGACGCCATTAAAAAATGAAAATACCAACCTCCACAATTTTTATCAGAACTTTGCGGAAACAACATCAAACGATTCCTGATGTTTTTGCAATGAAAATAATACTACACATGACATAATTTGAACAATAATTAACGAAATTATATGAAAAATCTGATTGCATCATTGAAAAGTTATTTCGTTAAAAATAGTTCGATTTACGCGATGTGAGATATCATTTTAATCGGGAGAACACCAAGAATACAATGCCATCACGTTCACGTGGATTCGATGAAGAATAAAGAATTCGATTTTATGAAAAAATGATGAGTCGATGGCCCGTTCGATCCCAGACCCTTGAGCGACCCCAAGTAGGCGCTTGGTCGAAAACAAAAGTCCATCGTAAAATGATGAACTGCTGTACATGAAATGTTTATATTTTTCATCAGATTGTCGAGAAAGTAATATCAATGGATTCATTATGTTTTTCCGATAAAAATGATATCAAACATCACATAATTCGGATATTTTTTACCTGAAGAAGCAGCGAATACGTCAGCCTGTACTGCAAGCATCACTCATCAAATCGCTAACACCTTTTTTGACAAACGAACAATAATATAAGAAATAATCTTATCTTATAGGAAACTGATTGAGCAATAAGATGCTTTGATCATAATAAAAAATAATTTGAATTAGTAGCTCAACCACTTTGTATAAAAAGGGTTAGCTCCTAAACATATAATTATCAATATGAATAATTTTAATGTATATAAATTTACAGAAAGAAGAATAACTAATCAAATCAATTTCGTTAAAATTAATATAAATATTGGAATAAATAAGTAAATAATTATGTAAATTAATTTTTTCAATAAAAAAAATTGCTTATTCAATAATTTTACAAGATCTGGTAATAATGCAGTTAAATATAAATTATTTCATACTTTTCACTGCATTTTTTCGTACTTTTAAGCAATTATATTTACAGCTGCTCATATAAATTAATGTTTTTGAAATTAGTTTATCTCTTAAAAATGGAAAAAAGGATTCTAGAAAGCACCTCGTCTCCTGACGCCTTCCAACTAGGAAAATCTAGTAGGTTTGATATGCTCCTGACGCGTCAGAACGCGTATTTCGTCAGATAGCATCAGCCCACGTTACGTCAGGGTAATGTGAACGTCGTCACGCGAAACCCTATGTTAAAATTTTAACTACAGCGTGTACCGTTAGATGGCGCTAACCCACGTCTTCCACGTCACGTCAGCGTAATGTGAACGTCGACACGCAAAACCCTATGTTAGAATTTCATACCACGCGTCTTATAACGTGACTCCACGCCTCGTCAGAGCAATCTGTGGGACACTTAAGGAATTCCTCCGCAAAATGTTGAGAATGTGTTTCGAAGATTTCTACCCACGATAAAAATGTTTATTGGTAAGTTAACTTTCAGAAAGTATTGGAAAAAACCGAAAGTAATTAGTAATGAAGAAACGTTCGGGTGGTTGGAATTTATAAAATTTAGGGTACCAGTGAGTAGCGACGGGTACGCTGTTTCTAAGGAGCTCACGGAGAGCTAACACTCTTAACCCTTTCGCTGCGATGCACGCGCAAGTGAGAGCGCTCATATTATGCAGCAGGGGAATGACGATGTACGAGCGAATACAGAATTTTTGTATATTTTCCGATATTCGAATGTTTAGGAGAGGACATCCGGTCGTGTACTCGGAAGAAACGTACTTATCTGGACATCTTTGAAAACAAAGTGACAAACATGTTATAATTAAACTCGTTGGTAAGAATAGTTTATACTATGTATCATTCAATCTTTATTTAGGCCTAGCAATGTGCTTGAAATAACGCCTGAACGCTTGGAATAATTTGAAAAGTGCCTCGAAGTAATTTGCGTCCTACAGACTGCTCTGGCGTGACGTGGGCCCACGTCTGTGGGATCTTAAGGCCCCATACCACAGTGAGCACGCGGTAAGTGAGTGTATTTTTAATAATTTTTTTCGAGCAAACGATGAATGTTTTTTTTTCATTGATACTTCTATCCAATATATACATAAATAAGACACTAGACAAATTTTCTTATCCAAATATTACGAATAGTTTGCGGTGTACGCAGCTATTAAAAGGACACTCTGCCGAAGTTGCTCCTTGGTGGTTGACAGCAATTAAGCCATACGGTTCATCTGAAGAAAAAAAAATATATATATATTTATAAACTAGACATATAGGTTCATAGCATCACGTAGAGAAATTTCGATATTAAACAAAAAAATGGCGGACCAGTGAATTTTATTTCCCATTTTCACAGACAATTTTCATTCTTTATGAATAAAAATAAAATAGAACGGGACACTTCATAAAGAAATCCCTACGTGGTGCTGTAAACCTATATGTCTAATTTATAAATATATATATATATATATATTTATTTCTTCAGATGAACCGTATAGCTTAATCGCTATCAACCACCAAGCAGCAACTTCGTCAGAGTGTAGCGGTGTACACCGCAAACTATTCGTAATATTTGGATAAGAAAATTTGTCTAGTGTCTTATTTATGTATATATTGGATAGAAGTATCAATAAAAAAAAAACATTTATCGTTTTCTGGAAAAAAATTATTAAAAATACACAAAAAATTCGAGAGACTCAAAATCCATCGTTTTTATAATTTCATGTAGTACGCGTAATATGTATCATATGTATCATATTATATATTTAATTGTTTCTGTAGTAATGTCTATACTACAACGGCATCTCTTAAACGTCTAATCGTTTCGTTACAGTTTACAGCGAAACCTGAAAGGACATTGGTTAAGATCGAAATAAATGGTGTCCATGATAGAAGATGGAAGAGAGACGTTAACGCAATGAGGGTAGTATTCGCCGTAGTTTTATTCCGATGTTGGGCTCACGTTCAATCGCGGGGATTGTGGGACGAGGTGGAATAAGGGCAGGTGATGTGAACTTAGACCTTGTTCTACCAATTGCTGAAGAAAAAACATAAAAATGTGGTGATCGTTTACCAATTCGGTGTACATTCTTGGATATATATACGTGCATAATTTAATCTGTTCGATCAGATATTCGCGATAATTTCAGATGAAAAGATATCTGTTTTCTGTTTACTTTCGGCACATTTGTTTTCGATTAAATTATTTCTCTCTGAGGTTTTTTCGTTTATTTTTTTCATTTGTTCTTTTGATGAATCGTTCGACACTTTTTTATTTAAACAGTTCTTTCCATTCCATGCACAAATATGTGTAATCCTTGAAAATGAATACGATTAGTAAAACAAGCTTTACCGTCTTAAAGTTGCTCCTTGGAAATTTGACGCGTGTACGCGAACAAGTTTTTCGTCCAGCAACGTCCTTCAGGCTCCAAGGCTATTTAAAAGTCAACGATAATTTACCTCGTATTTTTGAAATTACTGAATGCGTCCGTAATTAGCTTTCAAAGCTAGCTCCAATTTAAAAATGATATCTCTGTAAACGTTAAAAATTAAAGTTCCCGATAGTGTAGGTACTAGGATAATATGAGAAGTAGACGTTTTGCTTGAACGACGCCGATGCATGTACAATAAAAGTAAAAAAATTTTATAAATCGTATCGAGCTTGATTTAAAACTACATTTTACGACAAAATTATATTTTCGAAACTTCATAGCAGAACCCGGAGTGAAGCCATGTCCGCCATATTACGTTGTTCTTGCGAAGTCATGAAACTGCTAGATATCTGTATAGAGTCTATAGTATATGACTAAAACGCGCATCCCCGGTTTCCGACAAGAACCATATTCATTTATTGTTAGGAGAGTCTGGATACATCTGGAAGCGTCCACAGTAACGTCCAGAGCAATCCAGACTAATTGCAAGCGAAAGTTATTGCGTAAAAAATGAAGTATACCTAATATCTAATATAGTCTGAAAATTTCAGTCCCATATTCTAGCAATTGAGATAAGTGCATTCATTTTTATTTAAACAATCGCACTCATATGTAAGGTAGTTGCTTAGTTATTCGAACAGTTCTTAAGGGGATAGACACGGGTAATGCAGCTAGGTGACATTACCGGTAAAACTGGGCGTAAAAAGGGCTCCGAGATTTTTCGCTTTACGTCCTTATATTAGCATATTTTGGGCTGAATGACGGCTCAATCAGCTTTAAATATTCTCATATAAGGACGAAAAACGAAAAGTCCTGAAATTATTCCCAAAGACGAGTTCTGCCATTTTGACGATAATGCAGAGCAAGTCACGTACCAAATTTAGTTCAGGAAATCGGTATGAGACGGCGTTTACTGAAGACGACTGATAACGTGAATTTCGATACATTGCGACGTTGTCATTCTGGCATAACAGCGTCTATCCTTTCCCCACGCTGCGCTGTTGCCATTTTACTGAAGTCGAAATATTCTTACATTTCCGACGTCGACAGAGCTGTCTAGTAAAAGAAAACATTTACAAGTCTAGTATCATAACCAATTGTCATAACAATACCGTGTTTAGTCTTATTTTAATCAGGAAAGCCTCACCAATATGTTAGTGAAATTTGTATTAAAAAAAAAATTAACAATAAAAAAAGTTAGTTTGTCGCATTATTGTCTCACAGATTAGTAGGCATTTCAATTGTTTACGATTACCTCGACTCTGTTACGAGCCAGGGCGATAGCGACGCGCGTGTGAGCCCAGCGAGTGGATTAGATTTGAGAATTGGAGCAATATGATTAATTAGTGTGTATCAATGGTGCCGAAGACTGAGGATCGATTAGATAATGCAGACGACTCTGACGCTAAGTCAGATAGTTGCAGGAATCGGTATCTCCCAGTGAAGGGTAACCGTAGGGTTGGGTGTTTGGTTGTCTTGGTTATTGGAGACAAATGCAGACGCCTCTGACGCTAAGTCAGATAGCTGCAGGAATCGGTATTTTCCAGTAAATGGTAACCGTAGGGTAAGGTTCGAATTATGAGATTGTTGGAAAAATGCAGCGACTTTGGCGCGAAGTCAGATAGCTAGCAGGAATCGGTATCTCCCAAAGAAGGGTAACCGCAGGATAGGTTAGATTAAGAGTTCGTGTTGAATACACAGAGCTTGAATCGTATCGTTGATGTATATTACGCGTCGCGAATAAAGCCTCGCAACTTATTAATTTAATCTAATAATAACTCGAGCGGCAAAGTTATTATGTTGTGGGATCGTTACACAGGCTAGGATTGCTTATTATATCGTGAAGGTTTGGTAATTGATTTAGGAAACCTTTAAGTTTAAACAAAAGATAATATATTCAAAATAACTATACTAATTACAATTGTGAAGTGTTGTGTTGTCGCGGTTGTGTGTATTGAAAGTAGAAGTTACCATTAAGTTGCACGGTATTGACGCACTGGCGATGCGGGGGTCGAGTGTGGTTCTAATTGCCGTAATAGATATAAACCGTTTTCGCGGATCTATAAGGTTAACTTGATCGAAAGGGAAATTGAAGCCCGATCTCACTAAAGCACACTCTACAACGATCAACGTGATGTGACTCGACGTAACTCTATCGTTCTAATCCTGCAGAGCAACGAAAATCGTGGGTTTATATACCCTTAAATGTTGGTGGGGATCCGTCAGTGATTTTGGGGCGTACGGCGTGGGCGTTGGCATTTCCTGGATCAGGAGATTCCAGGGAATGCATCGAGTCCAAATTCGGGACTGAAGTCCAAAAATTGTGGATTTTGGAGGGGGTGGGGTGCTGTGAGGGGTGGGTTTGCCCGAGAGGGATTTTGAGGGATGCATTTTGTTGAGGGCATCGAGGAGGGTCGCCCCAAAGGTTTTTTTGATTTTTTCAATCCCTTCCATCACCCCTGGCCTCTTCAGAAGTGGCGTTTTTCGACGTGCCCCTCTTTACGGGGGTGACTTAACCCCTTCCTATCAACCCTCGCCAATGCAACTTTGTGCACATTTAGAGGACACTTCAAAACTACTCCTCACGAAGTTTCTCCAAAATCGGTTGAAAACTCCCATAGATATGACGTTTTAAAAAAGTGTCCCTTTAATTTTGTCCGTCAGTGTATTATCTAGTTATCTCTAAAGGTTTTTATCATTACTCATGTGATATTAAAAAAAGACTATTAATGAAATATATTCACTAATACGACATAAACATATCGAAAGATAAATAATACAATTGATATTAATAGATTTGCAACTGTTATTAGATATTTACTGTACACATACTTCTGAGCGGGGGTGTATTGTATGCATCGCGCAAATACGCCGCGCCGGGTCGTGATCATGTTAAAAATATAGACGTACGATCATTATCTTTGTTATAGGTTATAGCTATTGTTTTTCGCAAACAATACACATATATAATCAGGTACATGTTATACATCATAAGATTCAGAAAAAAAAAAAATATGTTCGTTTTTATTATTCTATAAGCTGCGATTACTTTTAAAATAGTGTTATAAATAAATTCTTTATTATAAACAAATTATTTTTTTTGCAAAATTTAGGGTCAGATTTTATATGCAGATAGAAAACCATGAAATATTTTCTTAAAAAGTTTTCTTCTAGGGGGTCGTTTCACCCCCTTAAATATGAAACAGACAGAAATACAAAAATACGTATATTTATTTTTCGCTCCTTTAAAACATATCCAAAAATCAAAACAATCTGAGGTGGATACCTAAAAAACATTCCTTGTGAGAATCGGGGTTGTTACGAGCCGGAGGGGCCGGGGCTTTTCTATTGGAATATGGTTTTGTTAATGGCTTGACCAGTGTTGTTAGGTAACACTGGGTCCCTTGAGGAAGTAGATGCAGAGACGAACCTACGTATGGCTAACGTACGGAGCCGCAGGAAATGTTAGTATTAGGCCTCGTAACAGTTTTTAATGTACCTCGAGCGGCAAAGGTCCTTACCACCTTAGTGGGTACTGAACTGGGTATTATAATTGATCAACACTAATTAAAAATGATTATATGTATATTCTGCTATGCACCTGGACTTACAATTGTTATGAGAGTAATTGTCGCGGTGTACTAATGGTAATAAGCTAAGTTGTTACAAATATGAACTGAGTTGAAAGAATAGTTTCGATTCCGCGAAGCTAGAATCTAATCCTTCTCGGTTTTCACGAACGCGAGCAAACGGGGGACGACTACAACGACAAAATAATGCCTAACAGTAGACTACGTACTGTATGGTTAAAATTTGCTCGAAGGGGACTTGAACCCCATCTCACTAAGTTTTCTCGTGTAAACAGTTCATAAGAGCACGCACAGACGTGTACAGAACCCTTTCTAGACTTTGACTAGACCCGATATGCCTTCGTCGTCACCCTTTTTATACCCAAAAATCATAGGCCAAGGGGCGGCGGGGAAGTACATTGCACGATTCCGATATTTCCGGGGGACTACGCCCTAGCTTCGCATTGGTCTCGAATTCGTATGTCTACGCGAAGAATACCGGGTGCGCACATCCGACTTCAAGTAAGGAAATTTAGAACGGGAACGTAACAGGGTGATCGTAAACAATTGAAATGCCTACTAATCTGTGAGACAATAATGCGACAAACTAACTTTTTTTATTGTTAATTTTTTTTTTTAATACAAATTTCACTAACATATTGGTGAGGCTTTCCTGATTAAAATAAGACCAAACACGGTATTGTTATGACAATTGGTTATGATACTAGACTTGTAAATGTTTTCTTTTACTAGACAGCTCTGTCGACGTCGGAAATGTAAGAATATTTCGACTTCAGTAAAATGGCAACAGCGCAGCGTGGGGAAAGGATAGACGCTGTTATGCCAGAATAACAACGTCGCAATGTATCGAAATTCACGTTATCAGTCGTCTTCAGTAAACGCCGTCTCATACCGATTTCCTGAACTAAATTTGGTACGTGACTTGCTCTGCATTATCGTCAAAATGGCGGAACTCGTCTTTGGGAATAATTTCAGGACTTTTCGTTTTTCGTCCTTACATGAGAATATTTAAAGCTGATTGAGGGCTCATTCGAAAGAGGGAGATTCAGTGCAGCACGCTCTGGTCATTGTTTGAGCCATAAAACTCTTTTAGTGACCTAAAAATGCTTGGATTCTGCAGGTACACTTTATCGTATTTTTGCTATACTTTGGATATCATATTATTAGATATGAACAAGATCTCGTTAAATCATGACCAGAGCGTGCTGTATTGAACCTTTTTTCGCCTATTTTTGCCGGTAATGTCACCTCGCTGCATTACCCGTGTCTTCCCAAAAGTAACAAACTATAACAAAAAATTAGATATTTAAAGTGTTGAAATTCTAAAAATTTATTTTCAAACATATAATCATATCTTCAATTATAGTCCTATTTGAACT